GGAATCTTAGTTCCCTCACCAGGGATTGAACCTTGGGCCATGGCCATGGAAGCACGGAGTCCTAACCACTGGACCACCAGGGAATTCCCTTGGCTCATGTAGTTTTTGAATGCACAAGTAATCCCATTTTAAATTGGGGCTTTAATGATTTGACTGGTGCTGAGTAGGCACTGTATTGAGCACTGCGCACACATGATCTCATTCAACTTGCAAGGGATCCATATGAAAGTAGGTTATATTTTTTCAGTTTTATAGACAGAGGAAGCTAAGGCACGGAAAGACTAAATGGTTAAGCGATATCCCCAGGTTGGCACAACTACTGGGTGATAAATGGGGAACCAAAATCCGGGCCTTTGTGTGTGTGTGTGTGTGCGTGTATAGTCTTCTTTAAAGAGACTTCTGTTAGTTTATTATTTAATTATTAGGAATACACTTATCTTTGTTTGTCAGACATTTTATAATAATGCAAACTTGGGTTTGTGTTTAGGTGGTTACTAAGTAAGCTCTTTGACTTTCAGAAGGTAACTTCTCAGGCTCTCTTTCTCTAAAATGGTGATAATAACTCATTATATTGTGAAGACTATCATACTGTGTGTTCTAAACACAGTGCCTGACACTTTAACCTTACCTTTCATCGGTTCTAAGAGATGCTTTTTTTTCCCTTACATTTTTAATATGCCTGAAAGTAGGTTGGCTATTATAATATAATTGACAGTATTTTTAAATTTTAGTGGCACAAAAAGTAATGCTGAGTCCTAGAGTTAGTAACAGAGGAGTCAGATAGATAGATGGTCATGTTTCCTTTTTGAATTATGTTCTCACCATCATTAATATGTGAACATTTTAATGTTCTGCTTAGTTTTGGTTGGTTTATTCCAGATATCTTTTATGAATATTCAGTAAGATAATTCACATCAGCACCTTGTTTGACTTTTAAAAATGTAGTTTTATAGATTAGTTTTTTTAGTATTCCATAAAGTATTTGCATATTTTATAAATCTGTAATTATTAGGCCTCTTCTCTCAACCTGATACACAAATTGTGACAATGCCAGAGATTCTGTTTCATCCTTGTTGCCTTGAGATGTTTATTTGGAAACTTGTACACTTGAAGGCTGTCTTGCATTTGTACTTATGTACCTGATTTCTTCTTAAGAATAATTGAATATAACCTGATTGCTTATAGGAATCCAAAAGGCTAGCTCTTGTTTATGAATTTTTAATTGTTCTTATATACTTAACACAAATGCTTTTTTTCTTCATTCCTCATTTGAGTTAACTAAGTGTATTAGCTCATGAACTAAATGTAACTTCATGGATCTTTAGAACAGTGTGTTTGGGCTGACTTTCTTGTTTGGGGTTTGAGGATAGGTGAAGAAATAACTCGAGAATCCAAAAAAGCAAGAAAAATAGGTGGCCTTACTGGTAGCAGTTCTGATGATAGTGGAAGTGAATCTGATGCCTCCGATAATGAAGAAAGTGACTACGAGAGCTCTAAAAACATGAGTTCTGGAGATGACGATGATTTCAACCCATTTAGAGATGAGTCTAGTGAGGATGATGAAGATGGTGAGTTCATGAATCTATTAAATGTAAGCTAAGGGATAGTTATTTCTGTGTGTTTATTTATTTATTTTTGGCTGCGTTGGGTCTTAGTTGTGACAGGCGGGATCTTTTGTTGCAGCATGCGGGCTTCTCTCTAGTTGTGGCACGCAGGCTGCAGAGCATATGGGCTCTAGTTGTGGCACACGGGCTTAGTTGCCCTGTGGTATGTGGGATCTTAGTTCCCTGACCAGGGATCAAACCTGCATCCTCTGCAATTGGAAGGCAGATTCTTAATCGCTGGACCACCAGGGAAGTCCCTATTTCTGTGTATTTGAAATGGGGTATTGTACTAAAACCATTTTTTTCCTATAGAAATCATCACACAGATTCTAATCATTGCTTGGTGGCAGCTCCAAGCTTGTCTGTCTTCTGGAGGTTCAGCACATTTATGTGAGATCATGACCTCAATTTTGTGCACTTATGTTTAACCTCAAACCATGGAATTTACCTTATGGTGTATGGGTGTCCTGGACCTCTGAAGTTGGTGGTGGTTTACAAGTTGTCCTTCAACAATACAAAAAAACTCAACGGTTGTTTCCTTTGGAAATTCTGTACTTGTGTTGTTAACAAATGATTTGATACATGTCTTTCCTTAATTTTCAGATCCCTGGTTAATCAGAAAGGACCACAAGAAAAACAAAGATAAAAAAAAAAAGAGAAGTATAGATCCAGATTCTATTCAAAGTGCCTTATTAGCATCAGGTCTTGGATCAAAACGACCTAGTTTTTCTTCTACACCAGTAATTTCACCTGCTCCTAACAGTGCACCAGGTATCCATGTGGAAGCTTGCTTTGTCTGTGAAATGTACTTTTAAACAAAACAAATACTTAAACTTTGTACTGATATTTAACAAATGTACTTCATCTAGCTAACAGTAACACCAACAGCAACAGTAGCCTTATAACAAGTCAGGATGCAGTGGAAAGGGCCCAGCAGATGAAGAAAGACCTACTTGATAAACTAGAAAAATTAGCTGAAGACCTCCCACCTAATACCCTGGATGAACTTATTGATGAACTTGGTGGCCCTGAGAATGTTGCTGAGGTAAATATGACTTGGTCAGGGCTGTGTCTCTTCTAGGTAATTTTTTGCCACTTTCAAACCCTTTAGAATAAGTGATATATTTGGTATCATCATATAATTATCTAATATCCTCTATTAGATCTTAGAACCCTTGTTCTACTCTAGTTGTCATCCCAGAGCAAGTAAATTCCTGCCCCTAGTATCTTGAGTATCTGCCCCAAGACACGGATCTCTGTTATTGCACCTGTCATGCAGGCTTTGTTATCATTGCCGCATGTCTGTTTTCTCCCCTGGAATTTGAACTTTTCAGAACCAGGCACTGTGTTGCAGTGTTCTCTCTCCCCCAGCGCCTGGTGCAGGACAGGTTGCACAGTACATGCTGGCTTCATTATCCCTTTCACCTCCCACCAAGTTTCTGTGATGGGAGCCCTGAGCTTCATGAACCATAGTCAGCTACGTTAATTGTAAGTGACGCTGTTTGGCTTTGTAGATGACTGGCCGCAAGGGGAGGGTTGTAAGCAATGATGATGGAAGTATATCTTATGAGTCAAGATCTGAACTTGATGTCCCTGTGGAAATACTAAATATCACGGAAAAACAAAGGTTTATGGATGGAGATAAGGTATGTTTTTCTGGGATGCTTTTTGGCGAAAAGAATAATGCCCATACATTTAGATTAATCTTTAGGTGTTTTCTTTTAATATAAATCGTGTCTGCTGAATGTTCTTACTCTATTTTTTTAAGTAATTACACGTAATCACTGAACATTTTACATGTTTTCATTATTTTCTTAGAAATCGAATGTGGTGTTTTGTGCATAGAATTAGATGTAGCTCTTGATAGCTTTGGAGGCCTTTGAAGTCTTTAATCAGAATATTAAATTGTGTTCTCTCAGGTCATCTTAGTGGCACTACACCTAATGCTACACCCTAGTGTCAGTGTAATCTTGAGTCTAGAAATATATTTAAGCACATGCCCCGATTACTGGGATCCTTTGATCTTGCTGTTTATTGTCTTGCTCTGCCATGTCCTATTGAGACGATTTACTCTGAATGGTCGTAGATTACACTTGCGTAACTGAGCACTGCAGAGGTTGTGGTCACCTTCAGAGGCCCTTTCTGTATGCTCTTATTGTTAAGTAAACTTCATCAATTTTCAGATTCTCAGATCAGTTCTTCCATCTAGTCGGAATTGCTATAAGCGTTTTGCTAAAAAATAGGAGTACCACTTAAGCCTCCTTCCTTAATCTAAAGGGGGTAGAATAAAATCTTATCTCTTTATCGACATTTTGCTTTGTATTTCAAAATTTTTTTGCCTCTGCAACTAGAAAATAGATGGTAGTTATTACCATTATCAAAGTTGTCTTTTAAATGTATTTAAAAGCTCATGCTACATATTTTAAAGATTATAGGTAGAGGTATTATCAGTTATTTTAAGTACTTGTTTCATTAGTAATTTAGGCTCGTGTGTGTTAGAAATTGTATTAGTTGGGATCAGATTTGGCTGTTAAGTGACAGAAAATCTAAAGTGGAAGTTCATTTCTCTCATGTACGAGTTGGAGTAGGGAGACCAGGACTGGTACGACCCCTTGAAGTCCAGGTCTCTTCTCTCTTGTTCCTTTAATATTCAGCCTTCCATTTCCTAGTTACCTCCATATTTCAGGTTCAGTCATTACACCTCTACATTTCAGCCAGCAGAGAGAAAAAAAAGAGGAGCGGAAGGGCATATCTTTGATTAGGGACATTTCCTGGACGTTGTTCATGTGACCTACTGGCTGGAGTGTGCCCACACTTAGCTATAAGGGAGACTGGGAAATGTAATCTTGATTTTGGGTGTCCTTGTAACCATGTACAGCTAAAACTGAGAGTTAGGAAGTAAAGGAGAATACGTATTGGTGGATGTTTCCCCACCTCTCTTTGTGCAGAAGTGATCTTTTGTTTTTTTCTCCTTACATTTGATACAGAATATTGCTATCATCTCAGAAGCTGCCAGCTCAGGTATTTCGTTACAAGCAGATAGGAGAGCTAAAAACCAAAGGCGAAGAGTTCACATGACCCTGGAATTACCATGGAGTGCTGATAGAGCAATTCAGCAGTTTGGTAAGTTCCTACACTGAGTTTCACTTCATAGCCAGGAATTACTGGGGAAATATTTTAATGCTAGATATACTAGAACTTGACATATATGTAGGTTTTGGAGATGTTTGTGCATTGCATATACCTTAAAATATAGAGGGCATCATGAATTTGTTTCTTGGCTGTTTTAAAAGCTGTAGAAGACCTATGGTAGGGCTTTCTGGCATCATATTCAAGAATGGGGCTCCTCAGGAGTACCTTCATTGTAGATCTCCAAGGATGTTATCCATGTCAGAGCAACTGCCACTTGATGTCTTTTTCAACCCCCAGTAGCTTCATTGAGGGCACATTGCTCCTCCCTTCCCTTCCATCTTCATGTCCCTGTGACCTGGTGATTTAAAACAACAACAACAATTTTGGGAGAATCCAGAGCAGCTGTGCATCAGCAACATTGTGGTCAACCAAACTGGGGTAGAACCAGTAATGTGTTTATCATTTAATAATGTTATGATAGTTTCTGCTCCCCCATAAGTGGGAGTATTGTTCTGAATACAGATGATGTTCAAGTTGGCGTTTTTGATTTTGTGCCTTTTGGGGAGTTAGGGTAATTGTTACATTCTTTAATTTTTCTTCTGGTTTAAAAATTTCTGGATACCAGCTTACTGTTAAGTGCTGGGAATAGGTCTCAGAATACTAGTGTCTAGAGAGCACAATCAGCGAATTTTTTTTTAAATGTCATTATAGGACGAACTCATAGATCAAACCAAGTTACTGCTCCGGAATACGTCTTTCTGATTTCTGAATTGGCAGGAGAACAAAGATTTGCATCTATTGTTGCTAAAAGACTTGAGAGTTTGGTAAGTTTTTGAGTTATATAGATGTGTGTAAAAGATGATGTATGTTAACCTGTCTTCTGTGCCTTGATTGGAGATTTTATGTTTGGATAGGGTGCGCTTACACATGGAGACAGAAGAGCAACAGAATCCAGAGATCTGAGTAGGTTCAACTTTGATAATAAGGTACATTTCAGCTTTCACTATCTGTGAAAAATGATTGCAGTGTATGGTGTCTGTAAGGAACAGAAAGGGAAAGTGGTTGCTGTTTAAAACTTAAAGCTGCCTCCTCTTATGGTTTTGCTATAAAATCATGGCTAGTGCCGTAAGACACATGGCAGTTAGATCTTTGGTGATCAACTGTGCAATATAATCATCTTCTCATTCCTATTGGAAAATAAGATTATAATAAATACATGTGGATGAATGAAGTGTGAGTTCCCAGAAGTAAAGAAAGTTGTTTATTTATGGAACGCCTGCTGTGTACAAAGGTGTGGATGAGGCACTAGGCAGTGTAAAATATATATAAAAATAATTGAGTCCTGCTATTTTTGACTCTTTGGTACAATAATAGTTTTTATAGCATTCACTTGGTCATGTGATTGAAGAGTATCCAAATGCTGAAACTTGTTAAATTTATTTGGTTTTTATTGCAGTATGGAAGAAATGCTTTAGAAATTGTCATGAAATCCATTGTAAACCTAGATTCTCCTATGGTGTCACCACCTCCAGACTATCCTGGAGAATTCTTTAAAGGTAACTTTTAAAAATAATCATAACAAAGGAAAATGAGTACTGACAAGACGGTACTAAAACTCATTCTAACATGTGCTGCTGTTTTTAGTTTTCTTTGGACATAAAATATATAAAATTTAGAAATTGATAGTTACCAGACACCTAAATTGATGTCTTATAATAAGCAGTAGATTTATTAAATTTCATTCAGGTGACGTGTTTTTACTGTTGATAGAGTTCGTTGCATGTTGTTTAATACTAGATTACTAGAGGAAAAATGGTTTTGTTAGATTAATTTGAACATGACTATGCCATATAGCTTTTAAAATTTAAAGTACCTAGGTAAATAATCTGTGGGGGCTAGTGGAGGTACAGATAAAACAAAACTGGCCGTGTATTAACAGTTGTTAAAACTGGGTGCTGGGTACCTGTGGTCCATAGAATATTCTCTTTACATTTGTGTGTATTTAGAAATTTTTATATTTAAAAAAAAGTCCTAAGTAGTGCTATAGAAATTCTTAGATGTATCTTGCAAATCTGAAGAATAGATTTTACCCCATTAATATTAGTAGTCTGGATGGTTTCAGTAGTTCAGCAAACTGAAAATATTTTGGAAAATAAACAGATGTAAGGTATTTGAAACATTATCCTTATAGAGTTAGCATTTTTTACTAGGAAGTCCTTTCCAATTGAACCCATGTTTAGTGTTGGTAACAGTCCATATTGACATAGCTGGCAGGGGTGCTTATAATCACTGATGGCAATATTTAACAAAACAAAAAACCAATAAAGTTTTGGCCCTGTTCTTTTTTCTCCCTTTCCCTTTCGTTCCCGCTTATTTTCTTTTTATTTGGTCACTGGAGGGATTGTCAAAAACAACTCCCCAATTTATTTCTAATTCTAAAAAATTACATGTTTTTTATTCATTATAAGTGATGAAAACAATCTAAAAGTGAATAATGAGGAGCCCATACCCTCTCCTTAACTACCTGCTACCTACCAGTCTCTCACCTGCTGAGGTTAACAAATGTTGACAAATGTTGACAGTCTGAACAGGGACACACCTTAACACACCTTTATCCGTTTGTCTAAACACTTGCAACGTACTTTTCTCACTTGGTACATCACAGGCATCCCTTACAAATCAATAGCTATAGTACTAACACATATTTTAACAGTTGTGTAATATTGTACATCTAGCTCATGTAACAGTTTCTTCAGTTTTTCCCTTGTTGATGTTCAAGTGGCTTTCATTTTTTAGCATCACAAACAGTGCTGGAATTATAGCAGCTGTCCTTCTGTTCAGGTAATTTCCTCCCATAGGATGGGTTCCCAAAATGAGGATTTTTTGCATTGGAGCTCTGGCTACAGAGTTGTCATCTGCAGAATTTACACATTTTGAGCATGTAGCAGTCTAGCTGATTAAATAAATGTGTAAATTGGATATAATTATGCTTCCTGTTGATCCTTTTCTTTCATAAACCCTTTTTACTGTAAGTCTGGGTTAGAGCCTGGACACAAATACTTTTTAAAAGTTTTATAAACTGTCCTCTTAGTAACGTAATTCAGAACATGTTGACAGTTATGCACGTTGCTTATCTTCTGCATCGCCTTGTCAGTACTGATAGGTAACGTTTGGAAAGGAAGCATGATAATTTCCTTATATAAATTATTTAATCAGTATCCTGCTGTATGTTCAAAGTTGTTTAGATTCTGTGGGTGACAGCTTTGTAGCCAAGGATCTCCACTGCCAAGGGTTGTTGTTGAAAAGATATGACATTTTAGTGAAATAATAAAATATAATGTGAGGTTTGAGTACTCTAGGATTTTGAAGTGTCTAAAGATCTTTAGGGGCTGTGGGTTCCATTTAATTCAGCTAATAGGAACTATGGAAGATACATAGACTGTGTCTTATATGCTAGAACTTGATCTAATTTGATTAGTCAGTTAACAGCTCATTGAGTTATTTGGGCTATAAGGTTTTTTGTTTGTTTGTTTTAATTTATTTTATTTTTGGCTGTATTGGGTCTTCGTTGCTGTGTGCGGGCTTTCTCTAGTTGTGGCGAGTGGGTTTCTCACTGCAGTGGTGCAGTGTCTTCTCCTGTTGTGGAGCACGGGCTCTAGGTGTGCGGGCTCTAGAGCGCAGGCTCAGTAGTTATGGCACACGAGCCTAGTTGTTCCACGGCATGTGGGATCTTCCCAGACCAGGGCTCTAACCCGTGTCCCCTGCATTGGCAGGCGGATTCTTAACCACTGCGCCACCAGGGAAGCCCTGGGCTATAAGGTTTTTTATAAATTTGTTTTATTATAGATGTTCGACAAGGACTGATAGGAGTTGGCCTGATAAATGTAGAAGATCGTTCAGGAATTCTTACTCTAGATAAAGGTAATGGTATGACTTTTGTATATATGTTCATAACTGTTGCTGTATCGTTATAGCCCGTTTTGTTGTTTATGCTTTCGTCAAGTTGAAGGGGAAGCTTCCAAGTCTCTAGGTCTCAATCCCTCGTTACTGAGTGCTCACAGAGCATTCTGGGTGGTTTTTGCTATGAATAACTATGGTTATTCAAGAAATTAAATCTCTATTCTCTCTACATAGCAGCAGTTCTCAAACCAGGTTGCGTATATGATGAGCTGTTGAGTTTTTTAAAAAGTACTGAAGCCAGGGCAGGAGCTCAGACATGGGTAATTTTCCAGAAGCTCCTGGGCATTCCTACTTGTGCAGCCAAAGTTGAGCTTCACTGACTTAACAGCACTTAAACTTTATGAGTTAAGACTTAATGTTGGAAAACTAACATTCTGTTGTGCTAAATTATATTCATACTTTGAATAAGCGAAGCTGAAGTTGCAGAATTTCAATTTGGCCAACATCTTTTGCGCATGTAGTATAGTCGTGCTAATTGCTGGAGGTAGAAGTGGTCGCAGTATAGCCCTGTTCTGGGAACAGTACGGGAGTTGAGAGGGAAGGCTTAGAGAAGAAAGTGAGACTCTTACTAGGCTGAGAGGAATGCATTTTTAAAATTGCCATTTGAATGCATTAAATCTTTCATACAATCTTGTCATTGCAGATTATAACAACATAGGAAAATTCTTAAATAGAATTTTAGGCATGGAGGTGCATCAGCAGAATGCGTTATTTCAGTATTTTGCAGACACACTTACTGCAGTTGTTCAAAATGCCAAAAAAAATGGAAGATATGATATGGGAATCTTAGGTAAGTTGGGAAATTTTTAAAACATCATATGTATTCTTTTTTTCTTTCTTTTTAATTAATTTATTTTATTTTTGGCTGCATTGGGTTTTCTTTGCTGCACATGGGGTTTCTGTAGTTGCAGTAAGCGGGAGCTACTCTTCGTTGTGGTGCGTGGGCTTCTTGTTGCCGTGGCTTCTCTTGTTGCAGAGCATGAGCTCTAGGTGCACGGGCTTCAGTAGTTGTGGCACGCGGGGTCTAGAGCACAGGCTCAGTAGTTGTGGCGCATGGGCTTAGTTGCTCTGTGGCATGTGGGATCTTCCCCGACCAGGGCTCGAACCCGTGTCCCCTGCATTGGCAGGCGGTTTCTTAACCACTGCGCCACCAGGGAAGCCTGTCATATGTATTCTTGATGACATTTTTTTTTAATACTTATATGTTGCTTTTTCAAGATCTTGGTTCTGGAGATGAAAAAGTGAGGAAAAGTGATGTTAAGAAGTTTCTGACTCCAGGATATTCAACCTCTGGCCATGTAGAATTATACACGGTAAGTTTAGAAAACGTGCACATTCAAGTATAATGTCATTTTCTGGTAAGCATTCTCAGAAGTGAGTTTAATTTAAATTTTATTATTATTTTTTTTACAGATAAGTGTAGAGAGGGGAATGTCCTGGGAGGAAGCTACCAAGATTTGGGCTGAGTTGACAGGACCAGATGATGGCTTTTATTTGTCATTGCAAGTAAGACTTGTCTCCCTTAAATGTTAGTTGTTAAGATATGTAATGTGTTTTCATTGCCAGAATTGTAATTATCTGTTCGCTTTGTGCTGATTTTCCAATTGAATTTAACTTTCTGTGTTTTGATAATTTATCACTGTAATTGTGATATATTTTTATTTAATACATTTTGAGGAGTATTATTAAATGCTAGTTTTAAATTATTACTTATTGGGGAATTCCCTGGCGGTCCAGTGGTTACGATTCCACACTTCCACTGCAGGGGGCACAGGTTTGATCCCTGGTCAGGGAATTAAGATCCTGCATAGTGCGTGGTGTGGGCAAAAAAAAAAAAAAAAAAAGTTTACATATTCTTAGTAAATTGAACCCTTTTTTTCCACAATATAGTGAGTGACCTTCTTTAGTCATAATAATGCTTTATTGTCTTCAAGATTCAGTTTTCATTTATTAGTGTAACTACATTCATTGGTTTAGTATTTGCCTGTGGATAGAGCTAAGGAGAGAGGATGTGTGAGTGTGTATGTGTGTGTGTGCACGTGTGTGTACGTGTTTACATTTAGACATATACATATACACACATAAATGAATGCATATTTATTTGTCCTGATCAAAACTATGGAATTTTGGGGCTTCCCTGGTGGCGCAGTGGTTGAGAGTCCGCATGCCGATGCAGGGGACATGGGTTCATGCCCCGGTCCGGGAAGATCCCACATGCCACGGAGCGGCTGGGCCAGTGAGCCATGGCCGCTGAGCCTGCGCTTCTGGAGCCTGTGCTCCGCAACGGGAGAGGCCACAACAGCGAGAGGCCCACGTACTGCAAAAAACAAACAAACAAACAAAAAACTATGGAATTTTAATCTTACCTCTTCTCTGATTTTTTTTTTTTTAATTTATTTTATTTTTGGCTGCGTTAGGTCTTCATTGCTGTGCGTGGGCTTTCTTTAGTTGCAGTGAGTGGGGGCAACTCTGTGGTGTGCGGGCTTCTCATTGTGGTGGCTTCTCTTGTTGAGAGGCATGGGCTATAGGTGCGCGAGCTTCAGTAGTTGTGGCACGTGGGCTCAGTAGTTGTGGCATGCGGGCTCTAGAGCACAGGCTCAGTAGTTGTGGCAGACGGGCTTAATTGCTCTGCCGCATGTGGGATATTTCCAGACCAGGGCTGAACCCGCGTCCTCTGCATTGGCAGATGGATTCTTAACCACTGTGCCACCAGGGAAGACCCTTCTCTGATATTTTGGTCTTCTTTCTTCCACACTAATAATCCCTGTTCTTCAGGGCACACAGGATGATAAAATATCATGGATACTATACTCTAGTGTTTCTGAAAATATTTTTGTTTTAATAATAACTTTTTTTGCATAAGCTTACTTTATGCTATTTAAAAAATAGTTATACTGTTTCTGCATGTCAACATATGGCAATTGTATAGTATACTCTTCTTTTAACTCTTAATTAATCTTAGTTCTATAGGTAATTAATTTATATTTAAAGCTCACCACTCACTCACTAGTCCTTAGGTTAATATCTCTCTAGTTATTTTGTCTGAAGCCCATTATGTAGTAGATTCAGGAAGGGCTTATGGAAACATTACTCCCTGAATTCTTACGTGCTGGTAAGTTTGTGCCTTTGTACTTGAAAGACAAATTTTACCAGACATGAAATCTTCTTTTTTTTGCGGTACGTGGGCCTCTCACTGTTGTGGCCTCTCCCGTTGCGGAGCACAGGCTCCGGACGCGCAGGCTCAGCGGCCATGGCTCACGGGCGCAGCTGCTCCGCGGCATGTGGGATCCTCCTGGGCTGGGGCACAAACCGACGTCCCCTGCATCGGCAGGCACACTCCCAGCCACTGCGCCACCAGGGAAGCCCAGACATGAAATCTTTAGTTCACGTTTTCTTTTCTTGGATATCTTAAAGATGCTGCTACTTATTCTTTTGAGATAGAATTGCTGTCAAAAAAAATTTTTTTTAATTATTTTTATTTTGGGCTGCGATGGGGCTTCATTGCTGGGCACAGGCTTTCTTTAGTTGAGGCGAGCAGGGGCTACTCTTTGTTGCGGTGCGCGGGCTTCTCATTGCGGTGGTTTCTCTTGTTGCAGAGCACGGGCTCTAGGCGCGTGGGCTTCAGTAGTTGCAGCATGTAGGCTTCAGTAGTTGTGGCTCACGGGCTCTAGAGTGCAGGCGTAGTAGTTGTGGCGCACGGGCTTAGTTGCTCCGCGGCATGTGGGATCTTCCCAGACCAGGGCTTGAACCCGTGTCCCCTGCATTGGCAGGCGGATGGATTCTTAACCACTGCGCCACCAGGGAAGTTCCCTACGTTTTGTTAATTTTTTAAAATTATGGTAAAATATATAACAAAATTTAACATTTTATCCATTTTAAAGTGTATGATTTAGTGTCATTAATTATATTCACAATGTTGTGCCAACATCACCATTAAACAGTAGCTTTCCCCTGGCCTGATAACCTTTGATCTATTTTCTGTCTATGAATTTGCATATCTTGGTACCTCATATAAGTGGAATCATGCAGTATGTGACAGTTGTGTCTGGCTTCTTTCAATCGGCATAATGTTTTCAAGGTTCGTCCATGTTGTAGAATGTGTCATAACTTCATTTCTTTTTGTGACTAATATTGCTTTGTGTGTGTGTAGCACATTTTGCTTTTTATTTGCAAATATTGGGTTGGCCAAAAAGTTCGTTCGGGTTTTCAGTAAGATGGTACCAAAAACCCGAACGAACTTTTTGGCCAAGCCCTTTATGGAGTGACCAACTGTAAATGAAGACCTGGTTCAAGAACTGCGTAAAGGAGACCAAATATGATGATGCCACAGGCAGGGTGAAACCATAAATAAGCTCTCTAGAGCAGGAATCCCTAAATTTTTTATGTCAGGGGTCAGGTAGTAATGATTTTAGGTTTTTCCAGAGAATATGTGGTCTCTGCTGACTATTTGTGGATTTATTTTTCTTAAATTCTTTAATTGAATTATGTACCCATGAATGCATTATTACACTTGTGAAAAAATTTAGATACAGATAACACTAAATTTTTTGATCATCCCCAGCCCTGGTTCCCTTCCCACCTTCCCAGAGGTAGCTACCGTTAACCAGTTTTGTGTCTATTCTCCCAGACCATTTTCTGTGCATTTGATGCATATGTATTGTAGCCATAGGAAACAATTTACTGTTTTAGGTGGTTGATTTGTTGTTGGTTATTTTTTTTACACCAATTCTATGATACAGTATCGATCGTTCTTTGAATTGCCTTTCTCACTAAACAGTCAGTCTCAGAGTGCTTTCTGTATTGATACTCATAGGACTAATTCATTCATTGTGGCTGTTGCATGGTATTCCGTGTTATGAATATACTATGGTTTATTTAGCCTGTGTCGTATTAATTGACTTTTAGGTTGTTTCTATTTTTTCTCTCTTAACAAAGGACATGCTTCTTTATGTACCTGTGTGAGTGTATCTCTAGAGTAGATTCAGAGAAATGGCATCACTGGATCTTAAGATCACTTACTTCTTTCTGTGTATGAATGAAAGGAAAAAATCTTTTGAAGATCCTGGAGGAGAAAACGTTTAGTTCTTAAAAGTCTGAAAAATGATTTCCCCCAGCTTTGTTCTTGGCTTCTAGTATTATCTTGAGGTTTCTCGCTAGGATGGGATAGGGAAAACTGAACAAGTAAAAGGACGTATCAGGATTGAGGGGAAAGGTAACAAGCAGATTTGGCTGAGTTTAAGTTGCTGCTTTCTCTCTCCTTTTTTTGTTTTTTTTTTTAAAACATGTTTATTGGAGTATACAATGCTTTACAACATTGCTTTACAATGTTGTGTTAGTTTCTGCTGTATAACAAGGTGAATCAGCTATATGTATACGTATATCCCCACATCCCCTCCCTCTTGTGCCTCCCTCCCACCCTCCCTATCCCACCCGTCTAGGTGGTCACAAAGCACCGAGCTGATCTCCCTGTGCTATGCAGCTGCTTCCCACTAGCTATGTATTTTACATTTGGTAATGTATATATGTTAGTGCTATTCTCTCACTTCGTCCTGGCTTACCGTACCCCATCCCCGTGTCCTCAAGTCTATTCTCTACGTCTGGGTCTTTATTCCTGTCCTGACCCTAGGTTCAACAGCATGGATTTTTTTCCTTCCTAAGAAACTTTCTCCCTTCCTTCCTTAAATTATTCTTAAGCTTAGGAGCCTCAAGCCATTTGGTCCATAAACCTGGTTTACTGGTCTCTGATTCAATAGCAAAGCTGTCAAACTGGATCTGGCTCCTAGTTGTGCATTTATGTGTGTGTATGTGTGTTTGAAAATCTTATTGAGATTATTGTAGATTCTCATGAGGTTATAAGAAATAATACAGAGAAATTCCTTTTAAACCAGTTTTCCCAATGGTAACATTTTACAAACCTATAGTATAATATCACAACCAAGATACTGATACAGTTCACTAGTTTTTATTCAGATTTCTCTGAGACGTTGGATGGGATTTTGATTGGTCCCTATAGGATATTGGTTATTTTATTTATTTATTTATTTTTGTGGTATGCCGGCCTCCCACTGCTGTGGCCTCTCCCGTTGCGGAGCACAGGCTCTGGACGCGCAGGCCCAGTGGCCATGGCTTATAGGCACAGCCGCTCTGCGGCATGTGGGATCTTCCCAGACCGGGGCGTGAACCCGTGTCCCCTGCATCGGCAGGCGGACCCTCAACCACTGCACCACCAGGGAAGCCCGGTTATATTTTTTTCACTTGAAAATTATTGCCAAATTGAGGCACTGGTAGATTTTGATGAAAATGCTGATCCACACCAGTTTCCCTTGAGTGAAAGGATGTGGTAGCGTTGTCCTTTGTTACTACTCTCTGCTGCACGGCCGCAGGCAGCTGGTTGTGACGAGTGAGGACCTTGGAAGAGACATCCTTCCAAGAAGCTGTAGCCTCCTTCATTGAGCCGCCTCAGCAGCAAGCAGTTTCAACTTGCCGTGTGTTTAACGTGTGTTGACATTAGGAAAGCCATGTCAGAATCACTTTTAATTCCACTGTAGTGTGATGATTTATTTTATAGTTACAATGAATTAACCTGGCACTGTCAAGATAGATCACACTGCTATGCGCTTTAAACACTGCCTTGAAGTATAGTTAGCTAGAGAATTTCACATCAGCTGATACAAAATTTTAAATGTATTTTTCACTTAACTTTTGTTTCATAGATTTTCCAGTAATTATATAAACAATGTTTCAAATTATTTGAACAAGTAAAAGACGAAGGATCTTTAGTATCAATGAAGAGAAAAGTAAAATATTAGGTCCTTTTATCAGCGTAAGAATTATCTTAATATAAAAAGGTAGTAGGGCTTCCCTGGTGGCGCAGTGGTTGAGAGTCCGCCTGCCGATGCAAGGGACACAGGTTCGTGCCCCGGTCCGGGAAGATCCCACATGCCGCGGAGCGGCTGGGCTTGTGAGCCATGGCCACTGAGCCTGCGCGTCCAGAGCCTGTGCTCCACAACGGGAGAGGCCACGGCAGTGAGAGGCCCACGTACCGCAAAAATAAAATAAAATTTAAAGAAGGTAGTAGCTTATTTAGCAAATGATTTATTTTGTAGAGGAGCTGGGAAAATACCTTTGAAACTTTTCTTTTTCCTTCAGTTTTGCTCCAGAGACTGTTGCTTTGAAATTGTTGCACCATTCTTCAAAAGAAATACTAATTTTCCCAATCTTATTTTTCCTTGCGTTAAATGGGGCTTTTTACAAATCTCAGGGTTCCTCTCATAAAGTCCAACTTTTAAAAAATTTTTAAAATAAAACAAATTCCATCATTTGTCTAATGCTTCGTTTTCTTCCACTTCTGCATCATATTTATGTATTATTTGTTCAGCATTTGGCTTTCTCCTGTTACAGCGTTACCATTTACAGATGAATTTGTGATATTTCATGTGATATTTTGCCGTCACACAACCATAGGAATAGGTTGTAGCACTGATGGAGTAGATGGATTCAGAGGACTGTGGGTGATCAAAAGGCATTATCTCGAAGGTTATATATTTCATTGTAACTTGAAGGAGAGTAACATAAAGTAGAGGTAAAATTATTTCCTGTGAAGACCCTTCCTGCCCACTACCTAGATTCTTACCTCACATACCTCTGAGCCTGTTGAGGCTGCGAGTCCAGTTTCCTGGACTAGAGGAAGCAAAATTGTCTCTACTGGACATCGTGCTTTAAGTCTTATTACTCAACACAATTTTCTAAAGATTGTCTTGCCTCAGAGATAAGGTCCATCAGCCTTCACTTTGGTGAGACCTTGTTCAAGTCGGTTACACAGCAGGTGTTATCCTTTCACACAGTTTTGTATTTACATACTCATTTGGCTTTGGTGTTGTGATGGTACAAAAAGCAAGCATGTCTTAAAGTGTGCAGTATTGAATCTTTATATTTCCTCATCTATTTATTTATTTATTTTTAATAGATAAGAAACAACAAGAAAACTGCCATCTTAGTTAAAGAAGTGAATCCTAAAAAGAAGCTTTTCTTAGTTTATAGACCAAATACTGGGAAACAGCTCAAATTAGAAATTTATGCTGATCTAAAAAAGAAATATAAGAAGGTATTTTTCCATTTGTACATGATGTTACATATAAATACTTGTTTTATAATAATATATTGCAACTATGTTTATGTTTATATGTAAATTGTCAATTTTTCCTATTTGATTACTGGAAAATTGTTTTCAGAAAAAGTTTTATCAACTCTTGTTAAATTAATATCCCAGTCTTAATGTTATCAACTGTTAGGAAACCGAAAGATGATTATTTGAAACAGCTTTTATGTTATCAGCAAAGGAAGTTTCTATAGTGCTAACTACAAAAATTAGAATTTTTTAAATAAAGGGAAGATGTACAAGACTGAAATTCCTTCCCACCAACTCTTGGTTTTACTGTGAACAGCTGTGTTTATATTTTGCAATAATTTCTGGAAAAACAGTGATAATCTGTTTTTCCTAACTTTACTATGTTATTTTGTTGTTAGTATTACCTTATATTACTATTATTTCTAGCCGTTTTTACTTGCAAACAATTATAATTAAGTTAACTATTTGAAATATTCATTACATGGGAAAAACCTCATGGCAGAGCTTTATGGATAGCATTCAAATGCAGGCAGTAGTGAAGACCATGTTTTCTATATAAAGATGGTTTTAAGTTGGCTTTAGAGACCAAATTAGGCAACCAGTTTGTTTAAAACAATACCTTTTCAATGAAATTTTTGTCTTATTTTCACAGGTAGTCTCAGACGATGCCCTGGTCCACTGGTTAGATCAGTATAATTCATCTGCAGATACTTGTACTCATGCTTATTGGTTAGTTTTCATTTTTCTCATCATATATTCCAAAGTATAATCAAGATTTAATTTAAACACCCCTTCATTCTTTAGCTATCTGTCCCTATAAGTACATAAGCAGATTATCAATTGCTCGGTGGTGTTCCTTTAAGCAGAGGTACTTGTTGGAAGTCTCTGGACCATGCACTGTTTTAGGTCTCCCCACTGATGCTTTGTTACTTCCAACCAAATGTTGTCTGCCAGCATGGACTTAACTATCATTCTTAGGGTTGAGACTTTTTCTTTCTCCTCTCCTTCCTTCCCTTCCTTTATTTTTTCCTTCCTCCAAAGTTTTATTGGTGTCCCAAATCAGTTTTATTTTTAAGGCTAGGGAACTTCTAGGAAACCACAGAGGTACCTCAAATAGTTAACAGCACTAGAAACTTTGTTGTTGAGCCCTGGAGCTGATCCTGCTGTGCTACTAGGCTAGCCAGAGGTGTTCTCAAGTCATTATGTTCATTCAGGGCATGAAAATGGACTATCTGGCCCACTTTTTGAAAAGGGATACAGGATATAGATGAATTTTAGCTAGGTTTTTATTTAGACACATGTAGGTAGATAAATTTGCTTTTGTTTATTTGCTGAGGGCTTTTCCACTTACATGATTTAGAACTGTATATTGGTAGTTTAATACTATAGAAATAACTGGCAGGATTATTTTATAAACTGACATTAATACAGTAAACTAATGGATATTAAAATGACAAATGCTTAAATGGATATCAAGACCAATAAATCAGCCCTTTTATAAGGGAGTCAGGCCCAAGAAATAACTAATTTTAAAATCAGTAGTGATACCTTAAGTTGGACATAATCCAATATGTCAGAAGGACTGCAGTCTACAAATTTTATCAGTAAAGGTGAATGACGGTAGGGCGTTTTCCATTTGAAATTAGGGTAGACCTTGTGGGCCTGTGTGTGTGTGTGTGTGTGTGTGTGTGTGTGTGTGTGTGTGTGCGTGCGCGCGCGCGCACGCACATATACATTTTTTCCCTTATTATCTATCCTAGGCGTGGCAATTGCAAAAAAGCAAGTTTGGGATTAGTTTGTGAAATAGGTCTTCGTTGCCGCACATACTATGTATTATGTGGCTCAGTACTGAGTGTCTGGACAAAAGTCGAGGGTGTTCTCGCATCTGTCAGTGGCACAAACGTGAAAATGCAGATAGTTCGGCTAAGAACAGAGGATGGACAGCGGATTGTAGGTGAGTTTTAATTTTTTTTTTGGTTTGAGCCTTGAGAAGAAAGATCAGGTCCTGTGTTTTTCTTATTTTGCTTCTAACGTCTTAGAATCTTAGCATCTATCTATTCTAGTGGTGGGGTAGAGCTTGCTTTATGTTATGTTCTTAAAAGGATAAACAGTAGTTAAGCTTTTGAATGGGTGTAGTTGGCTCTGGCTGAAATCCTGATGTGGTTGTGATTTTATGCTGCCCTCGGTGCTCTTGCTCCCCTCCCTCACTGTTGACATCTGTGCAGGCTCCCTGGTGTGAAGACTAAGGATTCTCTGAAGTCTTTATGTTCATTGTGCCACACTGAGACTATGGAAGTCAAAGCCGCTGTGCACAGAGGATGGACTGGAGTCCTGCAGGGAGCAAGGGAGACCAGGCTAACCGCTCCCACTGTTCCCTCAATGACAGGCCTCACGGAAATCCACCCAGTTATTGCACTTTCCCTTGTCACATTGTCTTTGTTTCTTTTGCAACAACCTTTCTCTGTATCCTGGGTTGCACATTGGTAGCCTGTGGGCTAGTCAGTCCATGGACATTTTTTTGATCCTCAAGTATTTTTGGTTGCGAGATTTCAATTGAGTTAGTTGCCACCTTTTAAAAATCAAAAGATTGTGGGCTTCCCTGCTGGTGCAGTGGTTAAGAATCTGCCTGCCAGTGCAGGGGGCACGGGTTCGAGCCCTGGTCCGGGAAGATCCCACACGCTACGGAGCAACCAATCCCATGCGCCACAACTACTGAGCCTGCACTCTAGAGCCTGCAAGCCACAACTGCTGAGCCCACGTGCTGCAACTACTGAAGCCCATGTGCCTAGAGCCCACGCTCCACAACAAGAGAAGCCACCGCACCACGATGAAGAGTAGCCCCCGCTTGCCGCAACTAGAGAAACCCTGTGTGCAACAACAAAGACCCAGCGCAGCCAAAAATAAATAAATAAAATAAATAAATTTATTAAAAAAAATCAGAAGACTGGATTTCTATCTTCAAAACAACAACAGCAGCAGCAACAACAGAGAAGCTTGGAACATTGAGCCCCTGTTCCCACATGGGAGGAGTTAAAGTTCCCTTACCCAGGATATATATACTCTCTAGTTTGCTGACTTCCACACTGTGCCACTTAGAAGTTACTGCTTCAGTATGCATTTGAATTTGCAGCCACTATTCTGTAGTCTCTTTGGTACATTAGTACATGCCAAAGAAGGTGGTGCTTGCATACATTTGTGGAGCTTCAAAGATAGTAGATAGGAAGGTACTGTACTTGGCCTTCTGTTGCTTCAGCAAGAAGATGGTGTTGCACTAGACACATGCATGTGCTCAGGTATTTGTGGGTGACGCTGCTGAGGAATTGGGCTACTTCTGAAGGGGCCAGTTCAGTTATTAGGTTTTTAGTTTTTTTGTGGAGTCTTATTCATTAAACTTAATATTATACTTCATTTGGAATTTGCTATGAAGCTGTAAAACAGTGTGGTTTCTCTGGGAAGCAGCCTTTATAAATTCTTGTTTTCTAATTGCAGGTTTGATCATTCCTGCAAATTGTGTGTCTCCTCTTATAAATCTCCTGTCAACTTCAGACCAGTCTCAACAGCTTGCAGTCCAGCAGAAACAGCTCTGGCAGCAGCGTCACCCCCAGAGCATCGCCAATTTGAGCAACGCATAAGAACAGACAGGTTTCAACATGGATGTATATGAAATGCTGTTGAAGCATATCATTTGCATAAAAATCAGGGACAGTTTCCAAAGAATTATAATTTTTTTTCAGTTGTGCTCTCTCTCTAGTTAATTTTTTGGGAATAAGGACAAACCTGGAATAGATAGCAAAACTGAAAATCAGCAGTGCCGATGGTGGTACATATGTCTTTCCTCGTGCTTTTCCCATGGTACTTACCGTATGCTTTTACTTTGGGTGAGCAGAGGGGTATGTGCGTGTGTGTGTCAGTCTGTCTGTTTGTGAGTTTGTTAAAAGCTACGAACCATAATTGGTTTAAAAATGCTTGGAACTTCCCAAACTGGCTTTACTTTTATGTTATACAGTGCTCAGGGTTAACGCAGTACATCCATGCCATTGCTGGGGGACTTATCCCCGGATGCATGTGTTTTGAGTCTATAAATAGAGAAAATATATATTGGTTTCTTTTTCCAACTTATTAAAACAATAGGTTTATTAAAGCATGAAATGAAAGGTTACATATCATGCATTCAGGTTCTTTTTCTAGTTTTTGTTCTGACAGTGCATGTCTTTGAAAGCATGCGTAAACAAGATTAACACAGAAGTCAAGTAACGGAGAGAAACATTTGTAGATGTACAGCATTGTTTATTGCATTTTTATAGTGTTTATAACTTGGTATTGCTTCAAACCCTGCGAAATCACCTTCTCCCATTCTCCCTGCCCCAGGTTTCTTGTCAAGGTAATGAGTACATACATTTTTTGGTGATAAAACTCTTAAAAGTTAATTTTAATGTATTAATAGTATTCCTAATGTGTGCTGCAAAAATGGCTACAAGCCTGCTTTTCTTAAAATTACATTTTTCTTAACTTAAAGATAGTTTTAGAAAGAAGTACAAATTGGCTTCCGTCTTGCAAACAATCTTTCTTTTTTTTTTACTTCGTTATCTTAATTTGCTTTGTCACTCTTAAAAATGGAAACCGTACTTGAGTTGTAAACTAGACAATGAGGAAACACTTGAGGCTTCTGCTGTATGTTTATTTCTTGTTGTTATTGTTGTTACCCAGTAACTTGAATATTGTTTAATGTGTTGTAAGACATTGTAGAGTTTATCTCAAGCTGTTAAAAATGGTAATGTACAAATGTGAATAGACACTTATCTATAATATGGGTAAGTTTTGTTTCGCCTATAATAGATGTTTATAAAAACAAGCGAGGGGACAGTTGGTCTTTTTGTTTCCTTTCCTTTTTTTTTTTTGCTTGCACAGGTTGCACTATTGAAAAACTGAGATTGTATAAACCTGGTCAAAAGCTGCAAGATACCACAATCTTGTAGATGTCAAATAAAAAGTTATTATACTAAGCAGAAGTGGACTCTTGTTTAGGCCCTCACCACCTTCAAAAGTAGTCTGTGATGGGGATGCTGCAGAACTTGCGTGTTGCTCAACATTCCAGGTAGCCTTATATTTTGGTTTAAAACCTACCCCTCAAAATTGAAATGGTGTTGAGGAAGGGGTAAAATGATAGTACTTTTGAAAGTTTCTCAAGTTGAACTGTTCTCCTTTGTAACTTTCTAAACTTCTTGCAGAATTAGGTGAGATATATGTTAAGTGATGGGAAAGCTAGGGCTATCATCCTCTTGTGTTTCTTCAAGGCTGAGTTTGGTTATGTCACGTTTACCATAAGTTTTCTTTCTTTGGATTTATTTATTCTAGACGCCTAAAGGAACAAATGGAGAATAATTTCTGTTCTTTGGCATATTTTGCCCAGTGGATGCAACTTTTATCCTCAGTCTAGTCCTTATATCTCAGGCAGTGATCCATATGAATATCAACCAATGTCCCTTGTTAGGGCCACTAGACCCAGCTGGCAGTCAAGAGCAGAATTGTTCCCCTGCACCAAAACTTCCCAGTTAGTTCTTCTGTTTTTAAATCAGGAGCCCAGTCAGCTTCCATCAACATCCCAAGGTGAAATAGAGCTGTGGAGGGGGAAGCATTACAAGCCTGTTACCTCCAGTGAGACAAAATGGCAGGGTTGGGGAAAAGAGACTCCCTCTTGGAGGCTTGGCCCAACTTCCCTTTTTTGTGTGTGGGAGTATCTTTTTTAGCAGGTTATGGTTTTTTCCAAGCAGCTTCAGTGTGAGGATTCTTTAGCATGCAGTTAGTTGACCCTCACAATTTATGATGTAATGTTTGCTCTTGGAATAGCTATCTTGTTACAAAGGGGGATATATGTATGTTCTGTTCTTTGTAGAACAGCTTTGTTTTGCTTTTTTAAAAAAAAGTCCAGAAATAAGGCCTCTGAAAACTCTCAAAGTAGACCTCAGAAAGGCAGCCGTGTAAATGGATGGGGAGCTGAGGTGCCACGTGCACATGCTTATCGTGGTGTGGTGTGCATGTGAGCGCTGGCAGTCTGCTTCCCATCCTCCTCTCTGGAGGTGAACACATGACCTTTAACACTGTGCCCTTACCCAAGTCAGCAAGTTTTAGGTTGGTCAACATGGGAAAACCCAGCATTCAAGGTCCTCCTCTGTCAAAAAATCAAGTCTCAACAACAGCTAACTTCTGTACAACAGATCCTTGTATTTCAGGATCTGAATGCCACCTCTGAACCCAGGGACCTTGTTGAACCTGATGTGAGTCCATTTGGCCTCTGTAATGCCTTTTCTCCCTTTTTAGCAATATGGCTCAGAGCACAAAGATTTGATTACAAGTCACGTTAGTGTTTTCAGAGTTTACAGTGCCGATTGTACTGAAAACCACTTTCCCAGTCCAGAGCTGCTCAGATGGTATTGGCGGGGGGGGTTAGTGTTCCCCTAATTTAGCACCTTCCCTACCACAAGCTGCAGTTTAGTGGGATAATCCAGATAGTTATCAACGATATGAATTCCTAAAAGTATTAATAAGGTATTTTTAAACACACTTGATGAAAACGTAAATATCTTAAGCAATTTTCCCTTTTTGCTGCTAAATTGCCGATACACTCTTCATTATCTTTTCTTTGCATCTGTATATAAGTTAGCAAGAACCTGCATCCAAAGCAATGTAGTGTTGTGTGTATGTGTGTGTATATATATATATATATATTTATTCCAATCCAGCTAGCACTTCAGAAACCTTTTTGAGTTGTAACAGTAAACCTTTTACTTGTATTCTGCTTCATCTGTAATGGTGAAAGTTCTAGATTACCAAGCTCCAGGGGTATATAATATTCTAGAAGCATAAGTTTCTGTCTGTAGCCACTGGGGCATTCATTTGCTAATCTCCATGTGATGCTATTAGAGCAACTTCTAACAGGCATGACGAGAAAGGGTACCAGACACTTAACGTTGTATAATGGGAGCCTTTCCCCAGTCCCCTCCACTTTCCAGTTTAGCAGGAGGGGGAAAAAAGCAATAGATTAGAAATGATTGATGCATTTCAGTTTATGAAAGTAGGAGCAGAGGAAAAGTGTTTTTCACTTGGGTCCTTTTCTTGATCAGATATTAAGAGGGAGGTCCCTATCTAAATACTCTCATTTTAAAAATGTACCTGAAAAAATAAAATAAAAATGTACCTGAATGATATTTGATAGTTTCTAAGAATGGTGCTACATAAGAGTCGCTGTTAGACCGGTATGCAGTTAACAGATGTTCGGTTAGTGCAGGCATCCCAGGGACAGTAGGCATTTGTTGACTATCCTTTCTCTATGTCTGGAGTCTCCTTGGCTAACACCACACCTCGCACGCTCACTGTGCACGCTTTGCTGCTGGAATATGCAGCAGGCAGTCCATGTCATGGCTACAGCTGCGAGCAAAAGCCATTTGTAAAAAGTCCTCATTGGATGTCAGTTGTCTAGTACAAAGGCAGTGTCTTTTAAGGGCATATAAGTGAAGGAAACACATCTATAGATACCTGCAACTCGAGCTAGCTAGTAATTTTTTTTCTGCGTACTTGAGGTGAAATCCAAAACCCACCTTCTGATTTTATGCTGTACTTATATATATATATGTACATAATGTGTATATATAGAAATGTTGAGTTGTTTTTGAATTCTGAATGTAAATATTTCTTGTAAATTGGGACGCCACCAGCTTGTTTTTCTCTTTTCCCTCCTCCCTTCAATCCTATTTATTCTTTTCTTGACTTCCCATAGGGGGCTTCTTACAATTTGTTTCTTTTTCTTGGATGTAGAAACGTATGAAAAACTTCTTAGTTGAATTTGTTCATATATTTTAGAATTCGGTTTTGCATCTTTACTATAGAATTCCTGTGTCTGTTTTGTGTTAATATTTTTCAACATGCCTGATTGTGTTTTGCATTTTTATTACTGTGTGCAATGCATTGTATTGGGGGGAATGTACTTGAGTGCAATTTCTTATACTGTCATTATATGACTAGTTATGCTCATTTATGTTCCTCTTTGGAAGCTATAGTGAGCCTCATGTTTTCACCTAAAAAATTTCTTCCCAAGACTTCCTTTAAGCTCCTCTAACTTCTTCAGTGCATTTGGGATCAAACTTGCTCTTCAGTAAACCCCACTTGTTCCTACCCTTGCAATTTTTCAGGCCTGCACCAAATCCTTCATCCTTGTGGGTTTCCAGCTGAGAGGAAAATCTTGCAGATCTGAACAGTGATTTATGACCTGCTACTGCTGCAGATTTTCTGTTTCTTTAAGAAGTCCAGCGTGTACTTTTAGCCTGCAAGTAACAATCAGAAGCTTACTTTCCAGTGAGCATGGGTAATCTGCTTCTGCTCCCACCAGTTAAGGATATTTATAGCAGGAGTGGAGACAGACCTGGTACATGCTGGTGTCCATGCTGACAGATGACATTAGAGAATGTCCTTTAAGGGACAGTTGTCCTCCGGAATCAAGCAGCACAACTGCTGTGGAGGCTTCCATGAGCCTTCAGCTCAAGGGTTGATTCTGTGCTGAGGGTAAAACAGCCAGTTAACTGTGGAGGGACTGGCTGGTAGGATCTGCTGGGCTATCCCGCCACCAGTGAACTGGTGAATTGATCTTGACTAGATTGGCTGTAAAGCTAGGAGCTGAGCTGGATCAAGGCATTCTTAATGATTGGATTAGTGTTGCCAGTAGGGCAGACCCAGGGGTGGCTCACAAAAGTGGTGGTAATCATCACCAGGGAGGCAAACATTGCATTTTTACTTACAGATTTTGCACTTTTAAGAAAATCTTCCTCCTTAACTTTCAGGAAAGATAGCCGTGAGCCTTTCTTGGGCCTTCATTCGTGTACATGTTTCTCTCGTTACTACTGAACTTCGTAGACTTACTGAAATTTAAAAGTTGTCTGCATTTAGGTAAGTCTTAGGAACCTAATTTGTCATGAAACGGGGCCTTTCAGAGGAGAGCTCCAGTGGGAATCCCTGTCCCAACACGTCCTGCCCGGTTTTCCTCCTCTGGCGCCCGTGGAGCAGCAGCCATCAGGACACCATGAGGCTAAGACTACACCCTTGTAGTGCAGAGTCGAGCAAGGGGTGCCACCTGGGAACGTCAGTTCTCTTTGATACTTGCAGGTCAGGCCTCCTTGGGGCTGAGGGTCAGTCCGCAGGCCCCTTAGTGAGAACTCCCTGGCTTTTCCTCCCACCCTGTCCTGAGGGCCTTTTTGCTGTGACAGTATTTGTGGCACTGAAGAGGATAAAGAAGCTTCAGCCTTCTTTCTGACTTCCACTTTACGGGGCAGAGAGCTTTTTTTCTACGTAGCACATTGCAGTCTCACCTCCATCAGAAAAAATCATCCTGTTCATGGTTTATACTGAATTTGCAAACTACTGATATTATTTTTCAATAACCACTTGTATCTACCATCAACCATGAGAGGTGGGAAGAGGTACGCTGTATCTCTGCAATAAAACTTTTGCCAGGTTCTACCTCTGCTGAGCAAAGGATACTTTTATACGTAGGCATAGATCTTCCTTCCTTTACTGATCTGACATGGTGCATCTTGAGACAACATATGATGGAATCCAAAGACAATTTGAAACAAAGGTGGATGTAAACTCTTCTGGTTGTTTCTGTTCTGTTCTCTTTTTTAAAATCTCTCTTTTTATATTGCTCCTCTGTTTTGAATGTCCGTCAGCGTGTGCAGGGTACGCGCCGTTCCGGTGATACTGCACTGCTTCAGCCTTCCGTGGTCATACGGTACCGAGTGTCCAGAAACGATTGTTCTGACCGTTTTGATTTGTAACTTAAAAAATTGGGTCTCATGCAATAAAAATGTATTGGCTGCATTTAGCGAGGTTTATACCCTTGCAAGTAAAAACGATCAACCATGAAGCGTAACGAATTCTGTATTTAGGTTTTTTGTTGTGTCTTTTGATTTTTTTCTGGGTTTTTTTTTTCCTTTTTTTGTAAGATTCTTAAATA